TCCACATGCAGATTAAAATAAGATACCACTGCACACCTAAATGGCCAAAACCCAAAACACTGACACCACCAAATGCTGAAAGGCATGTAGAACAGCAGAATTTTCATTCAAATGACCATATTTTTTAGGTCTATTTCTGGATTCTCTATTCTGTACCATTGATGTACAACTCTCATCTTTATGACACTTCTATACTGTCTTGATTACTGTCGCTTTATAATAAGCCTCAAAATCAGAAATTATAGTACCTCTAACTTCGTTTTGCTCAAAATTTCCTTGGCTATTCTAGGTCCTTTGCATTTCCATATGAATTTTAGAAGCATTATGATAATTACTATTTCAAAAAGCTTTCTGGGATTTTAACTGGGATTGCATTATATTTACAGGTCAATTTTGGGAGCTGATTTTTGAGTAACGCGGAGTTCTCCAATTCATGATCCTCGTATATCTTTTGATTCATTTATGTTATCTTTAATTATTCTCAGCATTGTTTTGTAGTTTTTTGAATACATCTTGCACATTTTCTCAATTGTATCCCTAGGTATTCATCTTTTGATCCCATACAAAATGCTGTTTTTTAAAAAAACTTCCAATTTCTAATTGCTCATTGTTAATGCGAAGAAATATTAGTTCTGGTAGCATTTTGGTATTAATAGATTTTATAGACTTTTTATGTACACGTCACCTGACAATATATATTTTTCCTTTCCAAATGGTGTACCTTTTCTTTCTTCATTGTCCAGTGACATATTATACTGACAGGAACTCAGTTCTAGACAGAGGTGGTGATAGTGGACATCATTCTTGCCTTATTGCTTATCTTAGGGAGGAAAATATGATTTTACCATTATGATGTTACATAGTTTCTTGGCAGACATTCTTTATAAAATTATGTAAATTATTTTCTTTTCCTCACTTTCTGATAACTTTTAATCATGAATAGATGTATAAATTTGTGAAATACTTTTTAGTTAACATATAATTTTTATTTTTATGAATTTGGCATGTTACATTTTTTAATATTAAACCAACTTCATATTCCTGAGAAAACTCAACCTGATCTTGATATATTAACCTTATTATATGTTGCTAGATTTGGTCTGCTACTATTTTGTTAAGGATTTTATGTCTATATTCAGGAGGAATATAAATTGGTCTATAGTTTTCTTTCCTTGTGATGTCTTTTTCTGGTTTTGGCATGAGATCAAAGTTGGTCTCAAAAAATAAAATATTAAACGTTTTCTATTTTTTGCCAGTGTTTACATAAAATTTAGTTTACTTCTTCCTTAAATGTATAATAGAATTTACATTTAGGCCTGAAGTTTATGAAGAAAGATTTTTAATTATAAATTCAATTTCTTCAATTTTTTTTTTTTTTGGCAATTTGTGTCCTTTGAGGAATGTTTCTACTTTATCTAAGCTTTAAATTGATTGAAATGTAGTCATAATATTCCTTTTTAAAAATTATATGTTGGATACATTGTAATGTTCCCTCCTCCATTCTAATTTTTGATCAGTCTACTTAGGAGTTTATGAATTTTAGCTCTGTTCAAAGAACCAGCTTTTTGGTTTATATTGATGTTTCCCTATTGTTTATACATTTAGTATTTCATTGATTTCAAATACATCATTATGTCCTTCCTGTCCTGCTTATTTGGTTTTAATTTGCTCTTTTACTTCTAGTTTCTTCAGATTAAATCTTGTATCAGTGGTTGTGTCCCTTTCTTTTTAAATATAAGCATTTAAAGCTATAAATTTCCCTCTAACATTATTTGAGCTGTTTTCCGTAAATTTTAGCATGTTTTCATATTCATTCATTCAAAAATATTTTCTAATTTTACTTACAACGTTTTCTTAGGCTCATAAATTATTTAAAACTTCTGTTGTTTAATTTCCAAATATTTTGGGATTTTTCCAGATAGCTTTCTGGCATTGATTCCCAGTTTAATTCCATTGTGGTCAGAAAACATATTATGCATGATTTCAATTATTTAACATTTGAGACTTGTTTTATGGCCTAGTGTACAGTCTATCTTTTTGAGTGGTCCACATGCACTTGGAAAGAACACAAATTGTTCTTGTGTTGTTGGATAGGATGTTAAATAAATGTCCATTAAGTTGGGTGATCATTTTTGTTCAAGTCTTCTATATTCTAAATGATTTTGTCTACTTGTTCTATCAATTAGCACTAAAGGAGGGTTGAATCTTTAACCATAATTGTAGATTTTTCTATTTATTCAGTGATATTAGTGTTTGTGTTTTGATACTCTATTAAGAAGCCTATAAATTTTAAAACTGCAATGCATTTTGTGGACAAAAATATTACAAGATGATAAAGATCTTTAAGTATAGACTATAACACTCTTTGGAGAAGGCAGAAAAGAGAATATAAAATATGTAAATTTCTAAATGTTAAAGAAGAGCTTGCTCATGTATTTTTAAAACAGATGTTGGTAAGCAGCAAAACTACATTCAAATTCTATTGTAGACATTTAAAAATGATATAAGTGGTTACATTTAATGTCAATATTTACAAGTTGGAAATCACATCCTTTGCAATTGTATAAATTTATGAACTACAAGTGGAAGAATCAAATTCCCATTGCTCATAGCAGTGTCCTCAATTACTTATATTTATATAACTTTTTCCCTCCCTCCCCTACTTTTCCTTTCTCCTCACTCTGACTTCCTTGGATTGTCTCTTGTATAAGCTAAGTGCACTCAAGGCTTGTTGCTGGCTCTATTTTCAGGGTTACCCAAAGACAACAGGTACCAGGAATGGATTGTGACTTCTCAAAATTCCTTTAGAGATATCATAGTCAAAAAACACTATTCTACTTAACATGCATGATCTATTTCCCCAAAGCCCCTCTGAGTCTAGTTATTTTTCCTTTCTTTTGCCTCCTTGTACTCTTTAACAGCACTTACCTCACTGAAAAATGTTTTTGTGTTTCCATTAGCCTATAGACTGATCTTATTAACATTAATTTCATAGCCATCCCAGCCTATTAACTTAATGGCTGGACATGGATGACCCTCAATATGTCTATTGAATTTTCAATTTATGTAATAACAGCTTCTAGTTACTTTACTTGCTTTATTTAATTCTCAGAAAAAGGTCCTAAGTTAGGCATTATTCTCATTTTGTAGAACTAAAATTCAGAAAAATCAGACCACTAGTAAATTGCCAGAGTGAAAGTTTGAGTCTTGGATTGCAAAGTAAATGTCAATTCCACTCTATCAAATGATTATTCACTGATGTAGTTCTTCTATAGCTTGTTACAATGCAGGATATCATAAAAAGCCTTCAGTAATGGATTGCTTCTCATAGGAAGAGAAACTGAAGCTTTAAGGATTGTTTGAGTTTATAGAGACACAAGAAACAAAGGAGAATTTTCCAGAAGAGGGAAACAATTAAAGGCAAGAGATGGAAACAAGCATAGTTCATGTAACAGGATGTATTTAAATAAATTTGAGAATTGATTATGTAAACTGCAAAAGATCCACATCATACAGACCTGACAGTTTGTAATAGGGAGTCACTAAAAGTTTCAGAACAGAAAACTGAAATGACAACAGTTGAAACACATATGCTAGAAAAAGATCATGAACATGTACAAGATTTGAATGCTGAAACTGCTCCTTATATTTTCTTACTCAGGAGAAGTTTCTAACTGTCTCTAAACTTTAGCATCTTCATCTACAAAATAATCACTTTACCTATCTTATGAACATATTTGATACTGCAGGTAACACGTACAATGATTGGGACAGAGCAGGCACTCATTAAGTGTAAAATCTCTAGCCTGGTATTAACAATTTTGATGGATTCCAATGAAGACAAAGTTAGAATTCCAGAGGCCAGTGGTAATAGCTCCATGACATTATTTTATGAAAAATATTAAACTTCCACGTGGGATTCAGGAGGAGGAAGACAAATCAGCTATTTTGATGAAATGGATATGAGAGACAACTCAGTGTTTCAAGCCTTGGCTCTTGGAGTACAATTATTAAGAGACAGTGAAGTTGGCAAGAGATTCAGTTTGTAGAGTGGGAATAGTATGCCTCAATTTGAACATGTGCAATACAAATATCAAAGAGGAAATGAGTCATTAGAAATAAGATGAGAGTTAGGAAAAGGAGCTTTACCTGAAATTAAAAGAATAGCCAAGTTCCTTTGAGGAAAAAGTACATTACTCTTACATTTGAAAAGAAGTCAGTAGAACCACAAATAAGTAAGAGGAATTCCAAGTTATATTTATCAGTAACATACTAAGAGGGATCCCTCCCCACCAATGCACATTCTGTTCTGTTTGGTTGGCCAATAAAACATTGTCTTTTCAAGAAACACCCTCTCTAGTTTATTGCTTCTATCTATCTATCTATCTATCTATATATATATATATATAAATTTAAAGTGAGACTAAAAGAAACGAAAATCATCTCATCAGAAATTTCTCATAATGAATCGACTTTTCAGAAACTAATTTACTCTCTTAAAGGAAAGGCTTCAACCAATTGCTGATATACTCTATATTAAATGGATATGTGCATAAAATAATTTGACAGAGATTTATTTTAAAGATCTAAATTTAAAAATTCAGATTTACAATTCATATACATATAAGCAGAGCAAAAATTTTAGTAATCTACTTATTAATCTAACTTCCAATTTGCAGGCTGCTAACAAATATAGTAATCTAATTTTAAGAAACTACAAGAACAAATGTGCATTTATTTAACTGTGTTCACCAGAGACTGAGAAGATGAAAGCTACTGAGTGCAAAGCGTCTTTTGTGTATGTCACAAGAATCTAGGCAACACCACTATTCATGGGTTAAGGATGCTATTTGCTCCATATCCGAAAAAAAGAAGATATAAATTCAATGTCTAGAATTTAGCCATGAGAGGGAAAATATTAGAGCCATTATTATAAAACACAAATGAAAGAGTGTCAATCTTGAAATATAGACATTAGCAAATTTACTCCACACATGAAATACAGGCACTATTATTTTTACTTTAATATGCAAATTTAAGCAACTAGCCCACAATATCACCTCTGCTAAAGCTTTTCATTTATCAGTGAAATCTTTCACACAGTTAAAGTATCACATGTAAATACACAGGACTATATTTTATGTCTGCTGATCTTTGGCACATTTGTCAAATTGGAAAATCTCAAAAGGCAATAAAAATTTGACTGTTTTGCACATTCTTTTAACTTTACATGAAAATATAAGGCCGCAAAAAGGCAAGCTGAAATTTTAAGATATGTGGAATAGTTTTAATAAGGAGTTTTACATACAGTACCCTTACATATAGAACAATGTGTCTGCAAATTTAAATAATATCTGAATGTACAGTGGCATGTATTTTTATCAAAGATAAATTCAAGTTAACTGTCTATCAGTTCTAAAATGCATTTATACAGATCTCTAGAACTGATAAACAGAATGAGGCATAAAATATTCAAGTGTTATATGTCATCAAATAGCCTCCTCTTAACAGTCTTTTTCCCCCTTTTTAAAAAAATTTCAAAACCTGTACATACATTTTTAATTTTTAAAAACAGTCTGTTAAAAGGTAACATCTCATGTTAACCACCAATTCGTATAGACTATAGTAATAAAACTAGATATGTGTGATATAAATATGTGTAGGTTATGTACATGTGTACGTTGAGTGTTTGTTTAAAACAAGCATACACACTGACGCATACCTGCGTAGGCAGCACTGGGGCGCATACCACTCACGTGAGCACTGACAGACAGTAGGACCTAGGCTCAAAATCCAGCAAGAGCTAGTACAGCAACTTAGTTGCCTTTGGTTTCAGAAATTTGTCCATTTGTGATCAAAGCTAAAAGTTTTGAGTGCGCGCGTTATTTTTTAAAAATAAAATTCATCTTCAGAAATGAAGCTTTTCCAGTATTCCACTACTAGCAGTTAAAAAAATCCATAGCCACAATCATTTTCATATTTTTGTCACTCCTCATCCCAGCTGAGGTTATTTACAATTTTTTTTTTTCTGAAGGCAAACATCAAGCATACTCAGGATCAAACTGTAGGTTGAAGCCTGAATACTGCCATTCAATATATATGAGATATATATAACATATGTGATATACAGGTTTCAGATGGACTGATGGCATTATGTAAGACTTGGGGTGGGAGAACTCCCCATAATATTTAAAATCCTCTTTCCAGCAGTATCATTATCATTTGGCACATCAGACCCTTCCTTCTGCAAGCCAGTTTGTTTTTAATGAGCTTAATGCCTGCAATATATTCCAATTATTTGGTGTTTGTTTTTAAATACATTCATAATGAAGTAAGAATTCCACAATTGTTTTCCCCAGAAGTGAGACTTCTACTGTCAGTTTTCTGATTAAGGACATTCATCACCCAAGAAACAGCTCATGATCCTATAAAAGTTTAAATTTCTATAAAACCCTAAATTTCTGTGCAGCTGGATTAACTGCTGAGAAGACAGTTCTTAGAGCAACCCTGTAGAATGCTCAGGAATTTAAATTGCCTTTACAATTTTGTTTTTGGCCAAATGCTGGTTTATAAACATGGCTCTTTCTACTAAAAATTATATAAATACACCATATTTCTTTCTACAGGTGTCTTGAGCTTCATGTAAGCAACTATTCAAAAATTCTGCCAATTCAATTCCCTTAGTATAGATTATATTCTACTTCATTGATCCTTGGCATATAACACATTATCATCTGCAACTTGCTCACAAATTTTTTTTAAATATTAGCTTCTTTGATAAAGTTGTTCTTCATTTTCCCTTCCAAGGTGCCATCCTACTGATGTCATAAATCAGTAAATGACCAGACATTACTAAGCTTTTTAATTATCCACTTAGCAGTCACGTGGATAATAAAAACGACTTGACTGAAGAAAGCCACGTTCTTTGCATTAAGTGTCCACTGTTGTCATACAGAGCAAAGAGTTGCTATCTGTTGTACTTTGCCCATGTCAATCAGAAGTTGTTTTATGTGGCGTTTAAGTTGGGGCAGTCTTGCAAGAGGATCTGGTGGTTCCAACTCTCCTGTGAAATCAAGCCAGCTTTCCAGAACTAAAAAAGAGAAGAGAACAAACAAATTTAAATGGCAACTGGAAAAACATAAAATGATGTAATTAGAGGTTGGATCAGTGGAGAGAAGAGTTCACTTCTCTGTTTTTAGAAAGCCAATATACTCAAGCCATTTAGCATCCTGCACATCCTATACCACAAGTTCTAGTTCCTCTTTATCTATCATTTAGGATAATTTTACATATATATCTCTATATATAAATAAACTAACTTCATTTTGAATATCTCCTTTCACTCTCTTCTGGAACAGGAAATAACTATTCCCTATGCCTGCTCAAGTTTTCTATTAATTTAGACTTAAATTCATCTCCTCTTCATATAAAACAAAACTTACCTACTCTATAAACTTTTTAAAAAAATACAGAAGTTATTTTTAACAAAGGAAAGGAAGTAGCAATTCTCAGCATTCTTTTCAGTTCCACTATTTTATCATTGCTTTTTTAAAAACATGCAAATGCATTAAAATTCTAGGCAAAATGTAATTAATTACCTCTACACTTTGTATTAATGTTTTCTTTGGAAATTTACTCCTATAATATAGGATAGTGTCAAGTTGCATTTTCTTTTCTTCAAAAATTTACTCAAAACATAAAACTCTACAGTTGACTTAAAACTAAATGGAAGATGCTTCTGAAATGGGTTTCCATTTCTTCTTTTCTCAACGGAAAAAAAAGTAGTAGGTACTTTAACTTAGTGTAGTGGAGAAGTGCCACATGCTTTTGCAAAATTAAAAAAAAAGTGTGTGGAGGGAGGCAAAATACAACCTATGAGGTTAGGAGGAAAAAAGAGTGAGAAAGCATAGGAAGAACACTGAATTAGGAATCAGGTAATCTAAGTTACTCTAGTGTTTCCAATATAAGATAGGGATAATATCTTTCCTGTCTACTCTTCATGGCTCCTATGTGATGATAAAATTTAAAACTAAAAGAGAAAACCATTTGAAAATGTGAATGTAATCTTAAGGTTTACCTACTTAACCTTGTAAAAGTTTTTTTTTATTATTATTAAATATCACTCAACAAATACTAACCAAAGTAAAAATAAATATTCAAAATGTTTTCCCCCTGCTATTTCAAATACGCTTAAATTTCTTATGCTGAATTCCAAAGAAAGCATAGTTCAATAAAAGTAATAAATATTCCATAAGTGTTCTAACCTGATCCCAGCAGATAGGCAGCATTTAATAAATATCCATCTTGAAGGAAAAAAGAAAACTTAAGATCATACCTAGTCATACTGTTTTGAGCCTACAAGGTCCTATATGTGTTAAATATAATGTAAAGAGACCAATAAAGCTCCAGCAATATGGAGAGCTTCTGTACTTTTCACTCTACAGTTTAAAAATTTTAAATAATTTCTTCATCATAATAATCAATATACTATAGTAACTGTATTTTAGTTCTTGCTTAAATTACCATCAACTTCTTTTTCTATTAGGTCCATCCTGCTGGTAACTTCATTCTGCACATTTTCTATGTGTGTGAGGAGATTGAGCTGCCACTGAAGATGTGAGTCTCCCGGGTCTTCAGTGCCCTTTTTATCATTATAAACAAATACTGTATTCCCTTCAGGTGGATTCTTCTCCAAAGGACCATTGGAAAATAAACATAAAGAAATGGATGAAATGCAATGTCATAAAGGAAAGATACATTAAACACCTCATCACCCACAATGACTGGTGAAATCCAATCTAACTCCTGGTGTATCTCAAAGGTACATAATCAAATTCCACTTGGTGGGCCTTAAGAACAGATAGGCCCATGATTTCCATCTCTCTCCATCTCTCCACTATGCCAAGCACAGTGCTACGGAGGGAAGAAGACTTCAATAAAATGTGCTAAATAAATGAAGTCGCTAATTCTATTCTGTAACTAAAGTACCCAGCTAATTTATAATGGCCCCTTCCTCATTTAATCTCAACTGGTAACGTAAGTGGAGTGAGGGCAAAGTAATAATGAAAAAAAAAAAAAATCAAGAAAGTTGTCAAAGACCAGTATAAAATCTAACAACAGATTGGTCTTTACTATTATAGTTAAATCAATGAGGTGAGGAAAAGGCAAAAAAAATCTTTCAAAAACTTCAAAAGAGCAAACAGTTTAACATACACACAGAATCTGAACTTAGATTTGTCCAAGATAACATTTCCCATGAGGGATGCTAATTTGACAAAATAATTTACCATGAATTTTATAAAATATAAGTTTTCCAAATTTAGTTAAGTACTTATTAATATTTACAGTGATTACTTGATAGCCAGAAAAATAAAAATAAAACTAATTTCAAAGTGGCCTTACTAATTGAAAATCAATAAAAAATGAAGGCACGACATCTCTAAGATAATCCCACTGAAAAGGAAATAAGTTTACAGATGTTCAATGTACATAGATCTATAAGAATTCAGCTTACTGCACTGCATAATGGAATCACTATGCATTTACAAACACGCTAAAATTTTTAAAAAGACAAAATGCCACCTTTCATCTAACACACATAAAATAGGAAGGCAAATTATTACACCCTTATGTACTTTCCTGTTCTCACACATAGAGATTTTCATTTGAAATACCATGTGGCTCACTAGTTTTTGGAGGCATTTAAGCGTGCTTATAAAATTGAAACATTTGTTAGGGTAACAGTTTACTGAAATTACTAAAATTCTGAATCAGGGGATAATAAAATGTTCAAATAGCCAGTGTTTTTCTATAGAGAAAACAAAACATGTCCTTACCTTAACAAGGTATTTGTGAACTTGGAAATATAAGTAAAACCTGGGAATTCAGTATGTTTTATTTTATACAATTTTCCTTTGTTGTTCTATCATATTTTCGAGGCAAACACAAATGAACCAGTTTTACCTTTTCAGGCATTCCATGTTCTTTTGCTGAGTATTGTAAACGATTTTTATCTCCCATTTGGAATTCCTGATCTTCTTCAAAACTACTAACATCATCATCGTCTGAGCTCCCAGGGTCTGCGAGAGATTTGCAGTCCTGACCAAAATTTTGTGGCTTTTGATAGCTGTGCTCACTTGTTATATAAGTTCCTTCCGTTTTTAGGGGCAAACGAAGTGGTTCTTTACGGTTGTTCTGTACATATTTCTTTTCTTCTAGATTAACTGTGTCTTGCAGTGTTATTTTTTTCTCTACCCCAGCTATTACTTGATCTTGGTCTTTTCGCTTCCCAGAACAAGCCCAGAGATGAAGGTCAGGATGATGTTTATTCCTTAAAACAAAGTTACAGAAACAGCAGTTCAGAAAAAAAGAAAAATCTATTAACAAGTTGAATAGGACAATAAATTTCAAAACAAGGTTAGGAGGAGGTCAGGGACTCAAGACAAAACCAAAGGTATTCACTAGGCTAACTCAGCAGTCCCCAACCTTTTTGGCACCAGGGACTGGTTTCAGATTAGACAATATTTCCACTAACAGGGGTCAGGGCTGGGGGCAGAGCTCAGGCAGTGATGTGAATGAAGGGGAGCAGCTGTAAATACAGATGAAACTTCGCTCGCTCGCCCGCTGCTCATCTCCTCCTGTGCAGACCCACAGTTTCATGGAAGACAATTTTTCCACAGACTGGAGGGTTGGTGGTGGCAGCAGCAGAGCCCAGAGGTTGGGATCTGCAGGGTTAACTCGTTCCAGGATTTCATCCAAAACTTGAATTTTCTCAATTAAAAAAATATCCAAAAAAGCAATAATGAATTTAATTCTGTTGATAGTTCACATCATTTGACAAATACATTTCTTTTTCTACTGATTTTTCATTATAGTTTTTTCACTATACACCATATGAAAAACTTTTATGTGGGCATATTTAAAAACTTTTATTCAGAGTGATAACTGTTACTGACAAAAAAATCCTGACTATAAATGTATATATAGTAAAAATCTCTTCCCCATGACAATAATAAATAAGGCATAATCTTCCAGATGTTTTCCATACACATAAAATTATTTTTTAAATGGATAAGCATATGCTTTTTCTTTTTCTACAACTGGGACTCAATAAAATTTGCCTTTTTTATACATAACACACTATGGGCATCTTGACACATCAGTACATACAGATTGCTCTTACTCTCACTCTAGTAGCTGAATAGCACTAATGTACCAGTCTATTCTAGCCAACCAATTCGCCATTGATAGATGTATGTGTATCTTTGCACATGTGTCAGAATATGCAGAATATTTATTTCAGTTAGGTAACTTTCTAGACATGGAATTTCTGGATAACATATGCACATTTTCACTTTGATAGCTACTGTCCAAGTGGCCTCTAAAGGGACTATACTGATCATAACCCCACCAATGGTCTATGATAATGCCCATTTACCTCATTCTCACTAAACATGTAAGCATGATAGTGTATAGTCAATAATTAAGTTCTGCAGTAAGTAAAACAAGAATCCAATCATTAGAGCTGAAGTGAAAGAAGCACATTTGGGAGACATAAATCTTTCAATAAACTCAATGTTTGCAAATTAATAATTTCCAAATTAGATAAACACTAGGAGTCAAATAAGCTTTCCTCTAATAATACCCAAGTATTGCTTCTGATATTATAAATTTTATTTTTTGGATCCCTAATAATTTAATATTCAGAAAACACTAAAATTCTGAATCAGTAAAAGGCATAGTAGAAAGTTTTGGCTTCGTAATCCAATAGTCCAAAAGGCTGAATCCTGCTGTGCCACTGAGGAACTTGGATAAGTTACATAACCGCTGTCTTTGACTACCCATCTATAAAATAAGATCTATTTTTCAGGCTTATTGTAAGGACCAAATATCACATAAAAGCACCGATTTCTGGCATGTAGTAGATTTGTAATAAACAGTAAATAACAGCAAATAATATTGAAATATTAACATAATGAGGACCTATAGGCATATAAGGCAGAAATGGCCCAGTTAAAATGCTCGGCAAAATTATGACTGTAGATAAACTCTTATTGATACCAAGAAGGAAAATCAGGTTTTAAAAAAAAGTCTAATAAATTAGATCTTCCTTTAAGTCTTAGCATTTATGCAGCCTTTTTATAAAGAAATACAGATTCAGGTTTATGACATACAATTGAAGCAAATTTTATTAACAAATAGTTACTGAGTACTCACCCCTACGCTACCAATTAGGGATAAAATGATGAGTAAGAAACAAGCCCTACTTTAAAGGAACCCATGGTTTAGTAAGGGGAGACAGACAGAAAAATTATACCAAAGTGCCTGACACCAGTATGCATGGAGTTTTCCAAGGAGGGTACAGTCAACCCTAATTGAGCAGGTAATCACAAAAAGGCATCTGCTAGGAAGACTAGTAGCAGAGGTTATTTTGGATATGAGTAAAGGCCTGGAGCTATGAAAAAACGTGCTTCTTTCAGGAATTATGAATTGGTATAGCTGGAATATTTGGGGGGAAGAGTTTAGGAGAGGGAAGATGTGGCAACAAAATGGTAGACAGAATTATGTGTCATGGAAGGACTCAGACTTCGTCCTTTGGGCAGCAGGAAGACACTATGGTACATTAAGCTGGAAGGAGATAAGCTTATATTTATCTCTTACTAAGATCATGCTGGCAGCAGTACAAAGGATGAACTGAAAGAGAACAAGACTGGAGCCACAGAGAAGTGAAAGGTATGGCAACCATTCATGTGACCTATAACAGCCTGGCGGAGACAGTACCAGTGAGAAGGGAAGAGGAATAGATGGAACAATGTTTAGAGATTACAATGGATAGGATGTGGGAGACCCAGGGATGGGGTGGAAGGAGGAAAGGGGCAAGTTTCTGGCCAAGGCAAGTGCATGAAGAAAATCCAAATGAAGAAAATCGTGTAAAGAACCAGGGAATCATCCTGTTTTGATATAAAATATAGAGGCTTTTTTGTTTGTTTGTTCTTTCAAAGAAAAATTCCAGTCAGGCATTAGGAAGCACTGAAACAAGGACTTCAAGAATATTCTGCTATATTGTTTAGGGAGGCTGTAACTTTTTTTTTTAAGGAAAAATTGTATGGGATGACTAAAACATATTTATTAATATTTGGTGCAGAGCAGAGAGGTGGATTTCATGATTTTCAGTTCCTTTCATGCCTTCTAAATCAATCTTAAGGTAACTAAAAAATATACTCATCTGCCTAGAATCTATTTCATCTTGACAGCATTCCTAAAGTACGATGCAAAATATAGGGCTCACCAAAGCATGGGCACTTAATTTTGTGCACATGGTGAGCACATGGTAAGACTAAAATTTGTTGAAATACTAGATGCTGTATAGGCAGGAAGCAGCTAGTTGTCCAAAAGGTTATCAATCTTTCTTTATTTTTAAAAATGAAACTTTATTCAAATACCTGTTCTCTCTTCCAAACTGCTGCTCTGGACCTTCAAAGGGCCAAGAATGTTGGTTTTAGTGAAAATGTGTATTGAAGTGTGACCCTCCCTTTGCCACCCTTCACTTACTTTAGTATTCCGATCTTCAGCTGTAACCCGTGTAGTACTTCTGTAACACCATAGACATCAGCAAGCAGATGGTGTGTGGAAACTATCTTTTTGGCATTGAGATGAGAATAATTTTCTTTTAAAAATGATAACCCGCACATTCTCCCATTATTCAACCAATCCTTATCATAACGATATTTTGCACTCCACCTCTGACCTGTAGATGAAGTTGACATTAAAGTCACAAAGGATTCCACTTATTCAGATTTCCCTTCACTGCTACCCTACTAACGCAACTCGTTAAGCAAGGCAAGCTCTCAAGCACTAAGAGCAGATTTCAAAAGAAGAGTAAGACAGAGTTTTGAGGAGCTGGTGCAGAGAGAGCTCCTCTGCACCTTCAGTGTTCCTGCCCAACAAGGAGAAGAAACTCCCTTAAGGATGCAGTCAATGGCAGATGACACTTGCAAATGGAACCTTGAGTGTATTGCTTTCAATTTTTATGTAGCAGTCATAGGTCCTCTAAAAAAGGGTTAAAAGGCTGATAAAAACTAGACAGGGGTTCTTCTATCCCTCATTAGCCTTTGTTTTGAACTAGATGAAAAAAAGGTTCTAGTTGAGTGACTATGGACCCCCTCCCCCATGTCTATGATTTCACAGAATTCTATATAATCCTATCTCCTCAGTGTTAACACAACTTAGATCCTATTACAATTAGATGCTTATGTATCTGTGTCCCCTACTATACTATGAGATAGCTGAAGGCGTGGTTTGAATTAATCACCTCGCTGACGTTTGGAAAGTAGAAGGCATCCAATAAATGCTGCTGAATGAATAACAATGTCTACATTTGCTACTGAATGAATCCAATGAATAATAAATGTCTATATCCATATGGGTCAGAATAATTCTCTTGTTGCTTACTGTGACTTTTTTCTTTTCTTTTTTTCAATAGACATGGGACCAATTCAACTTCCCTTTTATTTGAGAATACCTAGTTACTTCCTGCCTTGGAGGCCAAAATTATTTTCAATATGCAGAGCATGTTAGCTGAAGACCCTCTAGCATAGAGGAAGGCACTACATAGAAAGCACAAAAGGCACAGGTTTCATCGTAGTCTGCCACATCTTCAGTATTAAAGGGATCACAGGGGGTGATCTGAGACCCCATCTGCTCTCCAGTGAGTTGGCTATGCAGATTTGGCTGTGCAGCACTACCAGGTCAGGAGGAGTGTATGTTCAGAATGGTGAGCCACTCGAATTATCATAAATAAGCCTAGTTAGAAATTAATACATAGGAGCAGACAGAGGCTAATTCTTCTCCAGGAAAAAACCATACCTCTTTCCCTTCAGTAAAGCAGTAATTTTATTAATAACTTTATGCTAATGTATTTGTCTAAGTAATTAATATGGAAAATTAAACTATAACAGTGCTATAAATTAAAAAATAATATAAATTAAAATAATATAAATTTAAAAATTAATTTTTTTAATTTAAATTTAAATTATATTTAAATTTAATAATTTAAATATATTAAAATTTTAATATGGAAGCAGAGTCTAACTGACCAAGAAGTACAGTAAGTCCTCAGTCCTCACTTCATGTCATCAATAGGTTTTTGGAAACTGTGACTTCAGGTGAAATAATGTACTCGATAATGAAACCAATTTTACCACAGGCTAACTGATATAAACAAGAGTTAAATTCCTATGGCATACAGTACTGTCATTTTGCTTAAAGTTGCAGTTTTCAAGAACCTACCAATAACATGAAGGGAGGACTTAGAGTACTAAGTACTTAGAGTACTTAGAGGACTTTTACACAACTGATACACTCTGGAATCCGTGAGAAGACATGTAGGCACTGTGAAATTATTAGCACAGCGCAGAAAGTCTCACCTGGTGGGTCCCGGCAGATGTAGCAGATGTACTGTTCTGGAATGCTCTCCTCCAGCAGCCCCATGCACACGCTGTGCTGCCAGCACAGGCACTCTTCACACTGTGGGAAACAGGAGCACTGGAGTCACCTGTCACTCACTAGAAATAAGGACACACACTCTTCCTTAGCTAGCTCGGTTTCTTGCTGCCACTACCAGTCAATTCTTGGTCAACATAAGAAAAGCAAGTCCTGATGTGAGATGAACTTTGCCTTTGAAATGTTCAACTATTTCAAACACTTTCTTTTCTTACACCTATTAAAATGTGCTTTGATAAATTATTTAAATCATTACAAAAATCATAATTTCCCTTTTGTATTTCCCATTGTTTTTTAGATAATCGCATCCTTAAAACTCTAAAAAGTAGCTGATTAAAATGTAGAAAAAAAGCAAGTTTGTAAGCAGTGCCTATAGCAATGATCTCTTAACGTACTACTTGTATGGAGAAGCTATAAATTTGTATATCCCTTATTTTAGAAAACCACTGGAAAAAGGGAGAGAAAAAGGAGATTACACTTTCTTCATTCCCATAACTAATGTCTCCAAATCTTTCACATGTCACCACAAAATATGGGTTATGTTTCCTTTTTCTTAAAGATATCCTTTTTACAAGGAGAGGTTGTTAACCCTTGCAACAAAGTTTTCCTTTCTTTCTTGAAAATACTGATAACTTTTATGCTTCAATTTCTGCCCACCAAAGGGTGGTGACTATATATTGTCAATTATTAAGCAACCTGGATCAAGGCCAGTAAGAGAACGTTGTTGTTGCCTACCCTTCAATGTGGAGGCTTATCCACCCTGATGGCTCTTAAAAAGTGTTTCAGCTTGAAGGCCTCAAGCTATGCATGCTAGTAAAGGGAGAGCAACCCTACACAGTAAGAACATTGTCTACTTCACTTGATGACATGATCACCTCATTACTACTGGTATTTTAAACACAACAATAAGTTAGAAACCTCTGTCTTCGGTAAGATGGTTAGTAAAAAGAGAAAACACTCTGATGCACTTGCTGAGCACCTGAAATAATTCATTACTGTAGGGAAGAGAAGTTAACCAATTACCTGAATCATGAAGCCATTTTCCTCATCCATTTCACAAATACATCGCACAATTTCATTAAGAGCATCATCTTCATCCTGAGATTCCTCAAAATTGGTTGAATCAAAGTCCTGATTGTATTCATCCCCACTCAGAAGCAAACTCTCTGTTGAAGAATCATCGAGGAATTCCACATCTGATAAGTCTAGAATATATATAAAAAGCATACTCAGCACTTTTTTCTATTTTTGTGTCATTTTTCAGAAAGAAAGAAGGTAAGGGATATGATTTTAAGCTAGTAAGCATTTAAAAGAGGGGGCAAACAAATTAGAATACAATATTGTACTTGTCTAAAATCCCAGAAACAAATTGTTAAAGCTTAGGTAATTATGACTGCTTTACATCTTCATGTATACACTATCATAAATAACTCAAAGTATCCCCTAGTCTTTGTGCTTACAGAAGTTATGGCTAAAGTTGATATTCATAAGTTAAATTTGCATAGTTTCCATATACTTTCACAAACTTTATGTCTTTTGATCCTCATTAAAACTCTAGATGGCTTTACAGGTTTTATTATTTGTAGTATAAACAACTTCAGATAGATTAAACAGCTTGACTAGGGTCTAATAACAGTACTATTCATAATAGTGCCAGTAGGATCAACTACCACTGCACTCGATAATCACCAGGTACTATACTAAGCACTTTAAATATAAGATAAAACTTGCTTGAAGAATGCAGCTAGAGAGTGGTAAAGCTGACTGATTATCAGGACTGCTTGATTCTCAAGACTGTGTTCTTAATCATTTCACCAATATTTCTTAAAATGTGACTGTGAGTTCCCCAAGGAATTGTTTAAATATATTAACTTCATTTTGATAAAAATCTTTAAAAATTAAACATTTTCTAGAAACTGGATTATATGGATGACTACTACATACAACTTGCTTAAATGCTAGGTTTTAGGTTTGTGTTTATAACAATGTCAATGCCAAAGCCTACAATTCTGCTTCGTCTATTAGAAAATAAATTGAGATGAACATAAAGGAATCTTTATAACAAATAGAAAGAAATGATGATAGAAAACTAAAGAAGGTTTTGCAGTAGTTTGGATGGAGAAATGTTAGGAAAACCGAGTCACGATGGGACACATGGTAGAAGACCACAGTGCTGCTGCGAGCTCCTTGAATGGAGCCTGATGAGTGGAGTACTGCAATGACAGAGAAGTCACCTTCCCACCTCACCATCCTAGTCCCTACATTCTGAGTTATCCTTTCACCTTATCTATCTCCCCTTTCTAGAATGCCAGAATCCATGAGAAAGCACTTTGCATTGCTGAATACTACATCCCCAGTGCTTAGAATGAGATCTGATATATATAGTAGCCACTCCAGACTGTGGAAGAGCTAAGAAGGAAGTCAACGGAGAGAAATTTTTCTTTTCAGATTTAATCAGACCAGATAGATGTTGGGTGGATTCAAACTAAAAAAATTCATGCTATTTATATTTTAAATATTTCATATGAGCTTTTTTTATAAGTTTCTAATCTTATTTTTTCCCTGACTCAATGTTTTTGAATATTTGTTTTTGATATATTAAAGTAAATGTTTTATAGAAAAATAAATAAATGTTTTCTTCTCTTTGGGGTCTTAGGACATCTGGGAGGAAGTAAGGTCAGTAGAAAATTGATAATGATAGAGAAATACCTGAAAATATTCATGGAGCAAGAAATAAATCAATTAGATATGGAAAATATAATACTAATAACATAACTAGTTTTAAAACAACCTAAAGAAGAAAATTTCATCCATTCATTTTCTTTCTGGCTTAAATCCAAAATTAGTATTTTCTCTTGGGCTTTCCCAAATACAAGTTCATGTTTCAAAAAGGCAGAGCAGAACATGGATAAACAGTTTAAAACGGTGTTGCAACAAATATATGGTATTAAATGGATGGCAATCATAACACAGTTAATAATGAATTTGATTGAAAATTGTATTAGTGAAAGGAATTAGTATATATCTCACATATTACCTGCATGGCCCAAATTACCAGGTTTTAAGGTGTTAGCATGTAAATTTAAAATATTCACCAGAAAATCCAGTTTGAGTAACTAACTCCCAAGCATTAAAGATACACTTGGCTGAATTTTAAAAGTTGAGCAAATGCATCATTGGATTGAAGTTATATTAAAAAATTTCTTACACTTAGATAGATACCTGGAAAATAGTTCCAACTGAGTAGCCACATGAACATCTGCTTCCTTCGAACCACTATTCCTTGAACTATCATTGCTATTTTCTGAGACAGTATTTTCAAAGTGTGGTTCCTAGACCAGCAACATTATTCTTACCTGGGAACTTGTTAGAAATCAAAAATTCTGAGGATAAGGTGCAGAAACGTGTTTTAGCATACTCTCCAAGTGTTTCTTACATACATTAGCATCTAAGGACCTCTGGCCTCAGACCTTAGCCCTTACTAACATTCCCTTCCTTTCTCTTAGCTCAGTGCTTGATCATATGAAGTGCAGGACAGAGACAAGGCAGAACTGGGGGTGCACATCCATGCTCTTTCCACCCTTTCTCAATTGTTCTTGTTCCAGCAACACTACCAGCCCAGATATAAACCCCTATGCTCCATCTCTCTCTGGCAAGAGATGATCTCCAGATCTTGATGGCTTGAAGTATGGGTAGTCTTACGTGATTTTCAATACCTGCTATAACATGTAATCACTCAGAAACTGTATCTTGCTAGGATCCTTCCAGAAAGCTCATTTAATTATGCTCTGTGGTAGGACTCAGGATCAGTATATTTTAAAAGCCTCACAGTAATGACTATAAGGTGCTCCTGGGGTTAAGAACCACTGGGCCAGGGGAAAAGGGGAGCTTGTGTATGCTGAAAAAGAAAGGCAGTGACTTTTCCTTAATCCCCTTACCCACCTCAAATTCTTAAAAAACTACAATTTCACAAGTGCTGTGTCCTTATTTCATAGTAAAAGGAAGAAAATGCTTTCCTCAAAGTAAGCCAGGGAGGAGTAAGGCCTGGAAGAGAGCAGGTAGTAACAGTGCAAAAGCAAACATTTAATCTAGTACCCACAATCTAGGGTACTTGAAAGAAAGAAACAGATAGGAAATGTGCTCACTCACAAGGCTCCTACCCCTTATTCCTCATCCCCTGACTCTGGTCCCTCCTGTGTTAGAGCTCTACTCTTAAGCCACTGCCCTCAAATTCTAGAGCTGGGAGAGTCTCTCTTCCTATTGCTTATAATTTTGGAAGGAAGGTAAGTCTTCAACATCTTCCACTGCAGGAAAACTTGAACAGAATCTAGCTCCTGTGATCTTTTCACCCCTGACATGGCCTTCTGCCTGCCTAAGAGTGCTTTGTTCCTGAGTTTAAATCATTGACCTGACCATATTCCCAGACCTCTGGTTTACAGATGTATCTGTGACCAGGAATTCAAAGTATAGTTGTAAGATTATAATAACTATTTAGTAGAAAAGCATTATGTTTGGAGTTAAGATAGACCTTGGTTAGAGTTTTAATTCTAACACTAAGTAGTTCATAAAGTTACATAACCTGTAAGTAGTCTCTGCTTATCTATCTATAAAATGTGCATAACAATATCTAGTCCATAAGTTGTTAATGAATAATATGAAAATATATGTTAAAACCTACAGAAAGATCAGTATATAATAGACACTAATATTAGTTTCCTTACCACCATCTCTTCCACTATAAAGCCAATTTTACTTTACATAAATTAAAAAATAGCTCAAATTTCTAACACTAAAACTTTTCATATTAGTTTATGTGACAACTTTTTAAATTGTGTGCCCTGCATAAATAGACACAAAGTACATTTCATTCTCAGTTCCACATTTAGGAATCTTAAATCTTGTTTTAACCGTTACATGGTTACACGTACTTTCACCACTAAGATCAACAGACAGAATCGCCCTTGGGTATTGATAGCTTGTAGTTTTCTCCGTAAACATGCTTCGCGAAGCCAGAGAACTCCCAGAAGATCGAGTTAGTGGGGAAGAGCACCTTTCCAAAAATTCTAGGGAACTGTCTTCATAGTCTGAATAGTCTGCAACATAAGATACATAAAGAAATATTAATAAAGTTTCAGGTAATTAAGTGTGGTCACTATAAAAATAATGAGAATGTCATGTTTCAGGATATGTAAAATAAACATGCCACCGCTTTCTCTTCTTATCCATGAACAGCTAGATTATTATAAGTTAGGTTTAGCAAGAACACTTAGGAAATAAATATACACAGTAGGGATCATCAGGTTCTAATCTGTATCAGTAACTTTTGTGAAGGAGTCCAGAAGTGAAAAAGGACTATTTCTACACTATTATTATCACTATCACCATTATTATCACAACTATGCCTGTAATAAGATGTGCAAGATGGAAATTAACCTTTTTATCAATTTGTAAAGAGGTTTTCTTGATGTCTAGCACACTGATTATTATAGTGAAAATCTGGTCAATAAATCCTTCAAGCAAAAAAAAAAAAAAAAACTCTGAAGGAAATTAACTGGTCCTGGGAGAAATCTGTCACAGTTCTGTTCCTCTCCACTTGAAATGAGTTCTACAAATGTCTACAAGGGGAAAGGCCATATGCAGCCTAGTAGAGAGTAGGGGTGTGGTGAGGAAAAGGAAAAACAGGGGAAGGTGTGAGTCTAGGTACGCAGAAGGGCTCTGAAGCAGAAGAGAGCATGGTGCATTTAGCAACTGTAAGACTGTGGCTGGAATACAGTGGGTAAGATGGATAAGAAATGAGCCTAGAGCGACAGGAGCTAGATCAAGTTAAAAACTTTTGTTATTTTTTTTTATCCTAATGCAATCAAAAGCCACTCAACAGTTGTACAGAGAAGCAGGATGTGACATAAGTCCAATTCCATTTCTGAAGAATCATTCTAGTTGTAGAATGGAGGATAGAATGCAAGAAGGCACGCAGGGGCCAGGCATGGAGGGTCAGACCTGTAATCCTAGCACTTCTGTAGGTTGAGGCAGGAGGATCACTAGAGGTCAGGAGTTTGAAACCAGTCTAAGCAAGAGTGAGACCCTGTCTCTACTAAAAATAGAAAAAATTAGCCAGGCATGGTAGCATGCACCTGTAGCTCCAGCTACTCGGGAGACTGAGGCAGGAGGACTGCTTGAGCCCAGGAGTTTGAGGTTGCTGTGAGCTAGGCTGACTCTGGGCAACAGAGCAAGAATCTGTCTCAGAAGAGAAAAAAAAAAAAAAAAAAGGCAGCACACAGAGAAGTGGGGAGATAGTTCAGACTATAGCAGTAGTTCAGGCAAGAAATCCTGGTGGCTTGGAATGGGACAATAGCAACTTAGGGGAAGATTTAGAGGAACACATAGTGCTGTTACAGACTGGAGGCTTAGAGTGTCGAGACTGATTTCCAGGTTTCTGCTTCAGGAACTAGGTGGTAAAAATGGGTCTGAGAGGGGACTAAAGAATAAACGGGAGGAGGAGGAAACAGAGAAGGCATACGAGTTTAGAGGGGGGGCTTCTTCAGATAGGAGATCTGACACATCATCTACAGGAGCCAAAAGATGAGGGGCTGGGAAGATGGTGGTGGTAAGAAATGCCAGGATTAAGAATTGAAAGACAAATATGTCCCCCATTTTAACAGAGGCAAAGGAAAAGATAGATATATTCAAGTAAGTATGGAGATGTGGTAGATAAAAGACGAGCAAGTTTCCACCTGATGGGAATTTACTCATCTATTTCTATTTCCTCAGCTGTGTGAGGCAAAGGATGTCAGTTGAGGCAGGTTAGGGAATAAAAGGTGAGAAAGAGTGGGAAAAGTTGAGGAAAAGTAGAGTAGAAAAGCAAGTTTACAAGAAAAAAGTACTTACTAATAACACTGGTCTATACTAAGTATCTATTTGAAGCTGGTGGTTGAGGGAGGCAGAATAATGGTTCCTCAAAATGTCTTAAGTCCTAATCCCTGGAACTAAGTTACATAGCAAAGAGGAATTAAGGTAGTAGATGGAATTAAGGTTGCTAGTCAGTTGACCTTAAAATAGGAAGAGTATCCTGGATTATTGGTGTAGGCCCAGGGTAATCTAAAGGATCCTTAAAAGTGAAAGAGGGAGGGAGAAGAGTCATTGTCAGAGTGAAATGACAGGAGAACACTTGACTGGCCGCTGCTAGTTTTGAAGATGGGAGAGGGACATGAGCTGAGAAATGTGGCAGCCTCTAGAGGCCAGAAAAGCAAGGAAATGGATTATCCCCAAGAGCCTCCAGAAAGGAGTGCAGACTTGCTGATGCTTTGATTTTAGCCCAGCGAGACTTCTGACCTGCAGAACTTTAAGATAATAAATATGTATTTGTTTTAAACCACCGATATATATAGTAATTTATGATAGCAGCCATGGTAAACTTATATAGTGGTTATCATAAATTCCACAGTATGGCCAACATTGAATGTGGGCTCTCTATGTGCCAGATACAATTTTAAGTTCTTTACCTGTATGAAGTCTTTTAATCATAACCATCTAATGAGGAAGGTAAGACTGCTAGCACTATTTTGCAAATGAAAGAACTGTCCAGGGATACACAATGGCAAAGACAACATTCAAACCTAGGGAGCCTGACTACAGAAGTGGCACGCTCAACCAATAAGCACAATCAGTAGATTTCAACATTTAAAGTGTGCACAAGCTGGAAAGCTGGTTAAAACCCATGTTCCTGGGGCTCACCCTTAGCAGCTCAGGAGTGGGAGCACTCAGATAATGCTGATGCTATTAGACAACAGAGTAATCTTTGGGTAACACTGTGCTATTCTGTCTCTTGTGGCCTGCAAGTAACTGCACAGTCTGTCTACTAACACTGCATTATTTAGGCACAGGCATGAAAAGGCATTAAACACTAATTACTTTGTCAAGTACTTTACAATAATTATGTTATTTAACACTAGTAACAAATCTATGGAGTAGAAACTATCATTACCATTTTAGAAGTTAAGAAATCGAGATTCAGAGAATTTAAATAATCTGTCAAAAGCTGCCCAGCTATAAGTGTCATGAACAGGATTTGCTAAACCCCTATATTAAACTTTCAAAGGTACCCTCTTATTGACTACATTCTATATTATCTTCTCAGCAAAAGTAGAAGCAGAGTCTGACTGTAAAAATAAGAAAGAAATCTCAATTTGGTGCTAAAAATAAAACATGCCTGACATTTAATGTATCTGTTTTATTAGCAAATGAATATAATTTCTTGGCATTCTACACCCTACCTGTATTCCTCACTTCATTCCCTCTGGCTATCAGAAATAAAAGTTTACTGTTATGTTTCAAGGCTTAGATCAGAAGTAATCTCCTACATAAGGTGCTTTCCTTGATGATGCCAACTTTTCTAAATTTCAAATAGATTTTGTACCACTCTTACCACACAAATCAGAACTCCCTGGTAGACACTGATATATGCTTCGCATCACCCTTACATGCCTGCTTACAAAGTCCTTGAAGGAAATCTTTGTTTTTTCTCTACAATGCTTTCGATTCTCTTTGCTTTTTCTAGTTTTAATTCTTTTTAATCTCCGTATGCCTTCAGTTTCCTCATATTTACAGACACAAGAAAGACAGATGTGAAGTGACTTGCTCAAACTAAGGAAGCCAAAAACTGGCAAAGATATCACTCTTAAATCACATCATGACAACTCCTCATATATACAGATTGAATACAATGTTAGTTTTATATCTTATAAACTACTTCTGTTTACCAAAACATATTTTAACCCGCTACCACATTTACAATAATAATAAAGAAGTATTTAACTAAATTATTACTTTTCATAAATTTATTTAAAACAACAGATAAGGATAAGAGCTTAGTGTGGCAACAAAGACAAGTAAAAGTTTGTTGAAAGGAAGAATATACAGTCTGGTAAATAATCTTTAAGGTAGAGGCTATAAAATTAACAACACAGTATGGTGGTTATAGTTAAAAATTCAAACTCTGAAGCCACACTGCTTGGGTCTGAATCTGCTTTTCACCATTTGCTCGCTACATCAGTTAAAAAAAACTCTTTTTACCTCTTTTTACCTCTCTTTGTTGTTTAACTGTTCGTAATATTAACAGCTATTAATAGCTGTTTATAAAACCTTATTTGGAAACATTAAAGAAGACCTAAATAAATGGTAGGTAATTCATGTTCATAAATTGGTAGATTGAAAAGTCAGTTCATGAAAAATAGATCTGTAGATCTATTTTTTTGCTTTTTCTAGTTTTTTTTTGCTTTTTTTGCTTTTTCTAGTTTTAATTGAAAATTAAATTGAAAATTAAATTGAGGCTCAAATAAACTAATATACATAAAATGCTTAAATAGTGTTTGATCCATAAAAAGTATCACAGGATATGCAAAATAACATTATGTGGTAAATTAAAGGAAGAATTTTTAAAACTCCCTCATGGTATTAATCATAGACTAAAAACCATATTATACTAGGAAACTCATTCAGTAGTAATGTGAGTTCTTTAACACTATGAATCCTTTAAAATTTTAAAGTTATTTAAAAACCTGTATTTGCCATTTAAAGATCACTCTTCAATCATCTGAGAAAAGTGTCACTTCCAAAATGAATGTAAATAGCCCAGAATAAATTCTCCTCAAATGTAATAATTAATTACAAAGATGATGGTGATTACCACACTCAACACCTGCTGTATATAAATAGCAATGCTTCTGTGCATCTTCAGTATTTACCAGGACTCTATTTATAAGGTTAAGATTTTAATTTATAGGCCTGATTTTAAAATGCAAATAAAGATATAATGTTCATTTTTTATCAGAAGGTAAAAATATCTAACATTTAAAGTGTTTTCCAAATGGCTCTTTATAAAGGGTTATCATAGTTAAGGGCTGATCATAATTCTGAAGTATATATTTTCTTTGCAAGTTTTTTCTCTATTAATCCTAATGACACACCCTTCTTTCAAGTTACCACTTACTGCATTCTCATAAGCTCTCTCTATCCCTCACTTTGCTACCAAGTGTACCCACTTCTTATTTTGTGTTATATGAATAGTTATCTTTTCCTGCACTTTCAGGTATTTTGG